CACTGGGTGTTATATGCAAACAATGAATCGTGGAACACTACATCAAAAACTAATGATGTAATGTATGGTGATTAACATAACATAATAAAAAAAAAGTGTTAGACCACAATTACTAAATCTTTTCTTAATGGATTCAGTATGTTCATAAGTCATAGAATGTTTTATTTAGTCTGTAACTCAGAGGACTCACTCCATCTATCTAGCCCCATTTGCGATATATCATTGTCCCTGGCAGGTAGATAGTTCAAGTAGTGTTTTTCAAATTCAATAGTTTTTTTTTTTTTCAATTTTTTCATTCACTCATTCACTTAAGGCCTCTATTATGTGCCTATTATTTGTCAGTTACCCTATTTGAGGGACATAGCAATGAACAAGACTCACATAGAGTTTACATTCGAAGGAGGAGGAGTCAATAAACAGGTGAATAATCAAAACAGATTCCCAGGACTGATGGGTATTAAGGAGGGCACGTACTGCATGGAGCACTGGGTGTTATACGAAAACAATGAATCATGGATCGTTACATCAAAAACTAATGATGTATTGTATGGTGACTAACATAACATAATAAAATAAAATAAAATTTTAAAAAACATAGGGGGAGTTAAGGACTACCCTCATAATGGAATTGCTACTGGCTCTCCTGTAAGCCACAACAAAATTGTCTTAAATGGAAATTAAGGTTTTTCCCATTTTATGTAACTGTGAACAAAAGCTTTCTATGAAAGGTAGAGTAATGACCTCCAAATATGTTCATGTCCTAATCCCTGGAAACTTATATGATAAAAGGGATTTTGCAGTTGTGATTATGTTAAGGCCTTTGCGATGGGGGCATTGTCCTGGATTTCCCAGTGGGCCCAGTGTAATCACAAGGTCTTTATGAAGGGCAAGCAGCAGGGTTAGAGTCAGAGAAGGAGCTGAGGCAACATAAATAGAGGTTGTAGCCAAGGAGTGTGGGCAGCCTCCAGAAGCTGGAAAAAAGAAGGAACAGATTTTCCCTAGACCCTCCAGAAGGAATATAAACCTGCCCACACTTTGATTTTTAGCCCCCAAAGACCTATTTTTGGACTTCTGACCTCCAAAACTGTAAGATAATAAAATTGTGTTGGTTTAAGCCACCAGATTTGTGATAATATGTTACACCAGCAATAGGAAACTCTATGTAGGAATAGAAATATGTAGCAGTTGGAAACCCTGTATACACACATTCTTGGAAAGCTATTCTTACCGATCTGTAACGATGCTGTGAAGTAGTACACTTGCTATAAATTCAGACCCCCTACCCACCCTTCCCAATCCAATTGTAGTCTCTCAGCCTGTGCCTCACAGAAATTCTGGAGTTGCCACCATTATTACAGATAATAATAAGCACTTTGAAATAAGTGTAATAGCCGGAGGCAATGGAAAGTGACCTGAGTGCCCAGAGAATACTTCTCTGAAGAAATGACATATGAGCTGCCACTGAAAGCTACAAAGGAGCCAGCAGAGTGTTTCAGGTGGAGAGAATTCCCAGGACAGAGGTCCTGAGGTGAGTTAACCTGGTCGATTAAAGAGTAGATGGAGCATTGTGAGCAAAAGACAAAATGGTAGTAGTAGATGATGTTGAAGAAGTAAGCAAAGGCCATTCGTGGAGGGTCTGGCAGGTGACAGAGGAGTTCAGATATTCTCAATGTGGGGAAGAGCCATTAGAAGGTTTGAAAGAACAGAATGATAGGAGCTAGCTTTCATTTAGCATATTTGGCTGCTGGGTAGAGCATGGTTTCTGGAAGGAAAGAAGGGAAACCTGTTTCCCAGTAGTGCAGGTAAGAGAGTTTGTGGTGGCTTGAACTAGTGTGGGGGCAAGAGAAGTGGACACATTCGGGATACATATTGAGGCAGAGCCGATAAGATATGAGAAATTTGAAGGGAAAAGCGAAAAAGCAAGGATGACTCCTTGGACTTTGGAGGAACTGCATGCATGAGGTAGACTCTAATGTCAGGAAGACTGAGGAGCTCAAAGAAATGAGCAAATAAGTTATGCCAGTTATGACATCAGTAAGCATTTAGGTTTTGAATAATGTAGATTGTCCTGAGTATTTGAAAAGCCTATGTGATGAATAGCACAGTTTTATATAATCAAGTAGAACATAGGAAAATCCAATTGTTGAGTGGGAGAGAGATTTAAAGAATTATTTCAGACTATGACCTCTTTTAATAAGGGCATCTCCAAACCATTCCTAAAAATAAACGTAAGACCTTTGCATAAAAAAAATCCCAGAGGAGAATACTTTATGTTCTGATTCATCATTTTACTGCATTTACAATCAGGAAAGTCTTAATAATCTCTAATCTTCACTTTATAAATTAAAACCACTTTCTTCTTTCCACTGTTGTGAAGTGAAATAAAAAATAATTGTTTAAAATCTCCTCATAGAGTTGAAATTGTTATGAAAACTCTTAGTCTAGTTTACATAAAACAATGAACACTTGTAAACATTTGTATGCATGTATACATTCTGATTGTTCTCAGAAGTAGGTTAATACTGGGGAAATTTATTATAGGCAAAAATTAGTGTGGTAGGTATCTTGAAGAGAACCTTTAATTCTGAGTAATTTAGCAACTGAAGAAAGATGTGATTTAATTATTTGACATAAAAACTAAATAATTGGATTCCATTTTTAGAAAGATACATAGGTATCAGCTTGATTTTCCTCCCACTGAATCTTATAAAAACTTGGTAAGTCGATTATTTTAGGTTGATGCTTCAATTCCAAGATGAGCCCTGCAGAATTTTCAAAGTTGTCTATATATATTAAATGTATTGGTTAAAATCTGAAAAAATGGTCACTGGATTTCAGATGAATTGGCAGTATCTAAACTATTTTGAATGATAGATTAAATATCACTCTGTGCTTGAAATAGTGACATGCTTCAAAGTAATATTCAGTTCTTTTTAAAACTCATCTTAATTCTGGAAATTTATTATTGGGGTAAAAAGTATTATCTTGTCGGACTTGTAGTAAATCAGTATTGACAAACAAATTCTCTGTTTCTGTCTCTATGTCCCTCCCTCTCTGCCCCTCCCCCTCTCCCCCTCCTTCCTCTCCTCCCTCTCTCTCTATCTCTCCACACTCCATCTCTCCCTTTCTCTCTCTACTTCCCTGTCTCTGTGTCTCTCTGACCCTCCCTCTCTCCCTTATCACCTCCCTCTCCCTTTTCCCACCCTCCCCCTACCCCTTGGCAGATGGTCCGTGAACAGTACACTACAACTACAGAAGGCACCCACATACAGAGGCCAGAGAACCAGTGTGTCTACAAAATTGGCATTTATGGCTGGAGAAAGCGTTGCCTCTACTTATTCGTTCTTCTTTTACTCATCATCCTCCTTGTGAATTTTGCTCTTACAATTTGGATTCTTAAAGTGATGTGGTTTTCCCCAGTAAGTAGCTTCCTTTCCTGGTAAGCATGTTCTTGTTCTGTTTGTTGTATCACTTTATCCATATTGTATTGGTGGAAGCCTCTTTTAATGGAATTAATGTTTGTTTTCTGTCCAGATCAGAATTCTCAGTAGCAAAGTATTTATACATTTACTCTTTCTTAATTTCACTATGAACTATTAGGGTGTTGGATTTTTTGATTTTCTATTGCAATTTTTTATGTTATTCACTACCTCTACATGTGAGAAAATTGTATCACTCGAGTTTGTGGTTGACTGAGTCAAAAGTGTGTAATGATTATTTAATCCATTAATATGTAAAATTCTATAAATCACATTTTCTAATCTCATTAATCCATAAATAGTAACCATCCAGGTGCTACTTTCTCATTCTTCTAAAAATTTCATTTTAATATACAATAAATTCATGTCCACACTCAACATTTAACAAAAGATTTGAGCAGATAAAACACTAGTAGTCCTAAGGAATTCGTAGTCTGTTTTAAACATCCTCATGTTTTCAAGATAGCTGGGTAATTTTATATGCTTTGATAATATTTTGTATACTTCTTGAAAAAAATATTCATTTAATATAAAAATGTCTTAATTTTGCTAGATAGTCATAGTGAGAAAAATACTGCAGTGAACATCACAGGTAGGTCAGTCTGTTCTTTACATGCATCTTGAAGGTGTGATATAGGCACGGGCTATATCCAGAACAATAGTTGTAGCAATCAGTCTGACATGGCTTCCTTTGATGAGTCTCCTTCACTTTCTATGCGAGTATTTCTTTCCTGCCGTTGTTCTATAGCCACTAGGCACATTATTTATTTTGTTGACATAAATAAGTATTTATATTTTTCCATATTCAAAGAGGTAAAATACCAATCCAATCGAAATATAGCTTAAAATGTATTAATATATTTAACATATATTTAATATAAACACATATTATAAATTGTTATTATAAATTATATTTAAATACTATAAATACAAATATATTTAAATTAGCCAAATATAAGTTGTGATTTCTTCTTTAAGATTTACAAAAACCATATTTTTACAGCATCACCATAGTATTTAGTTCCCTTGGACACCTTTACTTAACTAGCATAGCATATGGTATGCATGTGCTGAACATCACCTTCATTTTATCTCTAAATTTATTTTAATATTTTTTGGAGAAGGCACTGAGATTGAAGTCCTCAAATTATAAACTATGGGATCTTTCAGGGATGCCTCCTGACTAAAGGGCCTGCCTCCACCCGCAGTGTACCCCTCAGGTATGCAGAATGTAGAGAGAAATTAAGTAGGAAAGAGACCCTTAGAATGGCCTGGGAGAAAGAAGCCATCCCAGGGCCCTGCAGGTGCAGAGGATGGCCAAATTTAAAAGTCCCTTGGCACCAGGGACCATGAGTTCTATCAGTCACCTGGCCATCTTGGCACATGTTTGGCACTTGGTAAATATATCTTGAATGAATGCAGATGGGCGTTATGTTAGAAGTGTATATGAATTAACTTTATAAACTATGTGAATGTGAAGTGATAGTATATTTTGTGCTCTTGTCTTGTATAGCACTGAAAACAAGTGTGGGATATTATAAATTTCAACTGGATTAAACTAAATTGTGCCAGAAGCTGAGTCCACTTCAACTTAGGATAGCTATTTACAGAGACCAGCAAATGTTTTCCTGCCATTGCTGCCCCTGTCCAGAGCCTGCACTTTCTAGTGAGATAGAGTCAGCATGCATGGTGTCTCCTTCCACATTAGGGACCTGTTGTTAATTCAGGGTGCTTTAGTGCCCCTTTCAACAAAATTAGATGAACAAATACTTATATTCATGGATCAAAAGGGAAGATCCACAAAAAGATTATTCTGCAGAAAGTGCCAACATTTGATCAAACGATGATGGGTGGACTTTGGGTCATTCTTCTCAAAGTGAGATGATATAAATGATGTAATTCTCATATGTATGTGAGCTTGATCCCTTGATTTGGCAATGTCCCATGCATTATAAGGCTGGATGTTGTTAATTAATTTATGCTCTAATTTTTTCTGAGTTTGAAAGATCTCTCTATATGTAAGAATTTAGTTTTGTTTTTATTTTATTCATATATAAACTGGTATCCTTTCTTGAATGCATACATGCCAAAGAAGCAACAAGACTATAAAGGAAGATTTCAAGAACTTTGGTACTGAAATGATAAAGTCAGATAGGGCTCTCAACATTTGCAGGGAGCTATAGAATTTTGAACATGTAACTGCTAGTATATAATTCCCTACCTAAATTATAATAACCTACCTATCACCTATACAGTCATTAGTCAGGGTAGACTGAAAACTATAATTTGCCAAATTAGCAGAGTTTAGAAGACTTTCTCTGCTTAGATCCCCAACATAGAGTAATGTCAGGTTCATTAACTTCCACATACTATCACTTCAGTGCACTTATCCCCTCATCATACATAATATTTTACTATAGAAAACAGTAAAGCCAACCACTAGTAACATATCTTAAAATGCCAAGATCAAATTACAGGGGAAAACAAGTAAAAAATCACAAAAGGAAAACACAAGGATGCCAAAGAAGTTGGAGACTTCAAACAGAGGTTAAATGTCAACAAGAGAACTAATCTGAACACAATGAAACCAAGCCTTAAACAGCTTTGATGTGCCTGGCATGGATGGGTTCCAGAGACCCCAGATCCTGAGTAGCTCACCAGGGTAGCTCCACTCTTAGAACTGCAACTCCATGTAACAGAATTTTACATAATTTCTATGTATGACATCAATTGAATATAAAGTCATATTTAGGAAATTGTAACAACTAATGCCAAACATAAAGGTTCTAGAATATTCTGTGTTGGTCATCATAATAGCTAAATCTGTTAGTCAGGAAAGTGGACATTAAAAGAAATCAGTGCAGTAAAGTGGCTAATTCTCTTTTTCCCTTTCCTTCTATAAAACTAATATACAATATTAGTTTTAGTTCTAGTGTTCATGGTTATAAAATGATACCCATGAGTCTTACCAGTAAATATGTTAAAACAAGGCATCTTTAATTTTTAATGACCCAGATTCTTTTTAAAAACGTTTATGGTTATTTATTTACTTGAATATAAAATATTTTAGTGCATTTAATGAATGTAATTTTAACAAGATAAGATTAATGATTCCAAGCTAAAAAAAAAAAACATGCTGAAAGTTAAATTTCTTTAGATACTTTTATTTGGGGGAAAAAAGGGTATAAGTAATCAAAGCAGAATTGTACTATTGAATATAAGAATTAAATGTAAGAATTAAACTTATAGTCCTCCTATAGGGGTTCTCAAGCCTCTCAGGAGCTCCCTGGGTGAAATCTGAAATTGGCCCTCAAACACAGAGGCAGGGGGAGACCAAGGGAAGAGGCAGGCTACCCCAGTTAACCTCATTACCCATATCTCATTACTCGTCTTACTAGCAAATATGTTGAATAGCATTACATTTCTAAAATGAAATTAATTCAAAAAGAAAAAATGACATGTAAACTACTGAAATTGAAATCATTTCTGTCTCTGTCAATCCCTGCTCATTTATTGAAGAGATCAAATTTAGCCAAAACAAATCACTTGTACTAGAATACTTTCTGCTAGAATGTTTCACAATTCCACAGATGTGAGTTTTATTAGATTGGGCAGGGGTTTTATTTAAAAATATTTTACTGCAGGGGCACCTGGGTGGCTCAGTCGTTAAGCATCTGCCTTCAGCTCAGGTCATGATCCCAGGGTCCTGGGATCGAGCCCCGCATCAGGCTCCCTGCTTAGCGGGAAACCTGCTTCTCCCTCTCCCACTCCCCCTGCTTGTGTTCCCTGTCTCGCTGTGTCTCTCTCTGTCAAATAAATAAAATCTTTAAAAAAAATAAAAAAAATTTTTACTGCAGTACAAAATGAAAGAAGAATTTCTATCATATGTTTAGCAACCGTTACAATAGTGCATTTTAAGATGAGTCTGTTCTTAGGTCCGAGCAACATACTTTGCCTCCGGGAATCGCTGAGAGACAGGCACAGGCAGGTGCCCCCAAGAGCTACCAAGGTCTTGGGGGATCTTGAGCTCAGTCTCTCCTTTGTTTGCTCGGCTCCCTCTGGGCTCCCTCTGGTTGTTTCCTCAGAAAAAGTCAGTGTGTTGTCAACTGCCGGGAGCCTCTAACAAAATCGGTCCTGAGCCCAAAGGAATGAATTCTGCCCACAGGACATGAGCACATAAGGGTGAAGGCGGTGAAATTTTATCTGACCCATAGATGGCGGAAGAGATTTTCACTTCTTCGCTGTACCTGTCTACCATGCTTGACACCTACACTTAGCAATGTTTAGCCATTTGTCTTCTGCCTGCCTTTTCAGAGACGCATGCTGGTGGCCCGAGAGCAGGCTGGCAGCCTCGTGTGCTCCATCCCTGCCCTTGCCTAAGCCTGGCCCACATGGTCATCACATTGTCAGTGATCTGATGTTGATTACTGATGCTGCCTCCCTCTCTTTGCCATCCATTTTTCACACCAATGGAAATTAGGATTAAAAGAAAAACATGACACGGTGGCATTTTAAAGCAGCACCTTGACATTTTCTCAAATTATTTCTATCTTTCTAAAAAGAATTATGTTACATCAGTGCTTGCCAGTCTAAAAACCAAATTGAAATGTTTGATTTATGTCTTAGTCATAATAGAGTGGGATTGATCCAGAGGTCACAGACGGTAAGAACATGCACTAACTTAATGGCATTTTCCTTCTAAGAAGTCAAGATATTATTAAGCCTGAGTTGAGAGGAGGAAGATAAACCTCAAGCTGTTTCAAGTACACAGGAATTTCATTATCCCTGGTATCAGGAACACAAATCCTATTATCACTGGTGTCTAGAGATACAGATCGCACCATAGTTTTAATTTCTATCTCAAAGATATTCCTTCAACTTTCCTTCCTATTAAAATTTTTTCTGTAAGTGATTTAAACATATTTTAACAATTGGGAAAT